CACAATTGGAGAGCAAGACTAGTTCAATAGCATGAATTAGATCTATATGAGTTAATAGCCCATGGATGCATTCAGAGGATATGAGTAGGGATATAAGGTGGATACATTAAGTATGTGTTATTTGGCTTTAAGATTAACTGTGATCAAATTGTGATTTGTTTATTGTGACCTAAATTGCCTATTTGTTTGTGATTGCCATACTTTAATATGTTTTGATTAAATTTCTTGGTTATTGAGATTTGTTTAATCTCACTCCTATTATTTAATGTTTTTCCAAGAGATGATAAGGCAAAGAGTAAAGGGAAACCTTAGAGGCCAGCGCTAGACACCCTACTTGTATTATCTCTACTACTTGATTTTGTGTAATAAAGTTTATATTTGCCAACATAAGATCATTGTAATTTGTTAACTATAAGTCCTTTGCATGTAAGCCCTAGTTGTTGACTTATTTATTTTATTTGGTGGCCTTGTGTTTTGGGAAAGGCCCAGCATGCAAATGTGTAATATGATTGAATGTTATTACTCTGGCATATAGATTAGCATCATGGCATGTTTATGCATGAGAAGCTTATATTTGTGGAATAATAGAATTATGGCTTGTGAGGGGAGATATTTAGTAGGTGTCGTTCGATTAAGACTTGGTTTATACTAAATGTTTCAAGATCCTCATTTGGTATCAAATTAAATTATAGTTTGTGCCATTAGATAGATGTTTTATTTATCTGCATGTTAGTACTTGGATCATTTTAATTAAAGGTTCGAGCAATTAATTAGGCTGATTTAAAGTCTAATTTTGCATGCTATAATTCTATGTTGATGAGGGGTTTTCTCTGTGGCCAAGCATGTGTCTATTGCAATAGATGGGTCAATTTATTGTAAGCTTTGACAGATATGGCCTTTGGCCATGGTGAAGTGGTTTGTATACCATATGTTATGATAATTGTAGATAAATCATGGTGAATGAATTTTGTAGCATTGGCCACAATGAATGAGCTTTTAACCATGATAGATGTGTACAATTTTTGTGAAAATGATGTTTTTACCCTTATATAATCCCTTTCTCAATGCTAAGCTTAATTTCCAAGTTTCCACGATCTTTTCTACTATGATCCTCAAAGCATTCTAGTATTATTACTTTAAATATTTATTTTTACATGCTTTGGGATCCCATGGTTATTTCCAAAGATGTTCGAGGGTTTAGTTAACTATTGGTGACCACGATTGATCTATAATTTAAGTATTGAGTTTTGTTGGGTTAATGTCAAAAGTCATTACAAGCGTCAACTCACATGGTGTGCTAAATGAGCAGGATCTAGTCAAAATGAAGCATCTAATGGTCAATGTTTTATATTTGTTAAAATAGGTTGACATTGCACTAGTTGAGAAACTTTGCAGGTGACATTTCCCTTTTGCTTAGTTTAGGATGATAATTGCAGCTGGCACAATACTTTTGAGGCAAATATGCACTTTAACCAATAATTTTAATTTTTAAAAATATAGAGACCAATATTTTAAATAGCTAAAACTATAGGAACTAAGTTGCTTCCAATCAAAATTTAAGAATTGAGTTACAATTGAGTCAAAACTATAACGATTGAGTTATAACAAGTTAACATTCAGGGATTAAATTATAATTGAGTCAAAATTACATGATTAGATGATTAATTTCCTAAAAAAATTAACGAATATTTTTGCCCTCAACTATTCATGCAAAAGCATTTAATATCCTTTTTTTTCTGTGTGGTGCAATATCTCCTTTTAACATTTGAGAACAAAGCACTGCTGCCCTTACTATTAATAAAGACTGACTTTGATCCTTAGTTGACAGAAATTTACATAAAAGTACTTAAGCATTCATTACACTTTTTCAAGTGAGAAACACTTAGGTAGTGTTTGGATGAATTGATTTAAATTTAAAATATTGAATTTTTAATCTCACATTTCAAATCCATGTTTTTAAAATTCTTTGATTGGGTAATTTAAAATATTTTAACTAAAAAGCTAAGTTGAAATTCAAAATAAAAATGAAAAATTAAAAAGTAATGAATTTACCTCTATTTTTGAATCAATGAAAGACGATAACAAGAGACAAAAAAAAAATACAAGAGTTATAAAGGTATCAATAATGAAAACATGAAGAGCATATAAAATTTGAAAATATTAGAGGGTATAAAAGGAATTTAAAATTATAAAGAAATTATAATAAGAAATAAATTTGATTCAAATTCATAAATTTTGTAATAAGGGATTTTGTTCAAATTTAAATTCAAATATCCATTAATCCAAACACACCATTAAGGTATAGTTTCCTTAAGTTAGTTAACTATTAAAGAAGAACAACACCCAAAGAGAAGGCAATTGAGTGTTGAAATTTTTTTCTCAGCTTCAAACCTTTTCTTAATAAATCAGAATATGAAGGTATAATTGAGTTAAATTCAATTATGAAATTTCTTTAAAAGAAAGCTGCAACAATTTTTACAAAGAAAGTGAGCAAACAAAGCTTGAAATAGTTTTCTTAAGGTCTTTCTTCATTTTATTCTTAATTTTTGTCTTAAATGTCTCATTTACTTTTTAAAACATTTGAAAAAAAAATACAATATTCATACATATGAATAAATGTGTTAAGGTTCATTTTTATTTTTGAACCTTTTTTTTTAAAGAGCATTAGGTATCATATGCTAATAAGTGGAATAATTTTCACCCTAAACCTTTTTTTTTTGAAGATAAAAAAACTATTTTCGTTAGTCACCCATTAACTTTGCTTTATTTTTGTTGACATGGCATATGCACCGAGCCTATGTATAGTGACAAGTATTACTCTAACCATATCTTTAGAGTTAATTTGTCCTTGAATTCTTTTTCCAAGAGTGTGTGGCACCTTAAAGTTTTATTAAAATAAAATTAAATAAATATTATTAAAATGTTAAATATTTTAATATTTAATAATTTAAATATTATTATTTATAAATATTCATCCAAAATTCATAAATTATTTTTTAAACATCAACAATTCAAACCAATTTTTCAAAAAATTATAAATGACATGTGATTTTTTATATATCAATCATACTTTTAATATTGATTAAGTTTTCTAAATTCTTTAGATCATTCTCTATAATATTTTTAGTCAACTAACGATTTTCCTCCAAAATATTGCATCACTTGAATTTACTATTTTGAAATTTTTTAACTTTGTATTAAAATAGAAGGAATGAAATTCCAAATTAACAAATAAAATGAACCTCCAAATTAATGGAGGGATTTTTTCCCTTATCTCTTCATTATTCTCTTATTAAGTTACTCTTTTTGTAGCACATTAATCCCCCAATATTGCAGTATACAAAGTAAATTAAATTTGGGTGGTTAAATATTTTAGAAGAAGACTGGTAATTGACCAAAAAATTATAGAGAATTACTTAAAAAATTTAAGGACAAACTTAATGCACCATAGCTTGTAGTTTAAGATATTAAGTGCTCCTCAAAGAATAACTTAGAGATGAAAATTTATTTTAACTTGAATTTACTTGGCATGATAGATAACATTTTCGGTTAAACTTAAATTTTAATTATCATTTTTAATGGTTAATGTTGGAGTATTTAACATTAGATGAAAATATACTACGTTTTAAGTACTTTAAGAATAGAATTGCTATGATAAATAGTTTATGACACTGGGTATTCTTTAAAGAATAGCTTAGAGGTAAAAATGTATCTTAATTGCATAAAAAATTACAAATCATCTATAAATTTATTAAAAAACTAATTTGATATGTTAATATTTAAAAAATAATTTATAGATTTTGGATGAATATTTATAAATAATAATATTTAAATTATTAAATATCAAAATATTTAATATTTTAATAAAAGTTAAGAAATATTATTTTAACAATATTTTAGAGTGCTTATCACTTTTGAAGAGTTTAGGGATAAATTAATACAAAAAAAATAATCACAGTCATATTTGTTATTGAGTGTGGGCCTCAAATACATGTCATGTTAATAAAAATGATAAAATTAATGTGTGACTAATAAAAAATTTTTTGTTCCTAAAAAATTGGTTTAGGAGAAAAATTATCCCATTTATGAATAAAAATAAACTTTAACTCTTAGTAGATTCTTTGTTATATCTTACAGGGTAATATCTTTAATGAAGCTCTATTATATGTGTGTGTTGCCAGCTCTATTATATTTGAAGGATAAAAAATACGCTGTAAAAAAAAATGGATGAAAAATATTTTTTTAAAAACAGAAAAAAAAGGTTCGGGTAATAAAAGAGAAAAAGAAAAAGGAAAATATACATACTAAGGTCGGCTTAAATCTTAATTTAAATATTTTCTAATTTTTTATATAATTATTTTTTAAAAATAAAATAAAAAATATCTAGGATTTTAAAAAATGGAAAATATTCAAAATTATTCTAATTCTTTTATATTTTTTAAATAGAAACATATTAGAAATATTTTCATTTTATTTTGTAAAGCACACTACCTTTTTTTTTTTTTTTTTATAGTACAAGAAGTAGGCTTTGCAGTGATCATCTTATCAAGAGCAAATGGTGTACCTCACTCAACTAAATTTGTACATATATATTCAACCATTAATTTAAATGATGAGAAAAAACATACTACTAGCAAATGTAAGAAGGACATTCAACCAAAAACATACCATTTAGCGAAGTACTTTTGATTGTTTTAAATTATTTTCTACTATAGTAAATCACTATCATAGGTTATTATTATTAACTACGAGCAATCATCCCTATTAATTAATTTTTTAATTTTAAAATTATTTTTAAATTAATATAATCAAACAGAGTTTTATTATGCTTTGTTTTGAAATACAATATTTTAAAATTAATTTATAAAATAGTTTTAAAAACAAAAAATAGAACAATACCATACAGGCATAGACGACACGATACACGGGCTAACGCAAGAAAAGATTGTGTACACTTGGGGCCTCATTTATTGCAGCCCAAATCGAAAACGCACAACCCTTTGTGAGTCTGTTCCAGGAAAAAGAAACAAGAGCGGCCAAGCGTGTCTGAGGCGATAGTCAAGAGAGATTCGTTTCTCAGCATCGCGACTCGCGGAGAACGAAGGAAGCGAAGAAAGCTGAACAAGTTGCGAGAGAAGAAGGAAAGCTAACGCTGCTTCTCCTCCAATGGCAGATAACAGTGGAACCATTCCTCCGCCATACGACCTCAATGCCAAATGGGATGCTTGCCTTGATCTCACCATTCGCCGTTTTGTCTATTCTTCATTAAGCGGTGCATTTGGTGGTCTCCTTTTTTTCAGTCAGTTCCTCTCCTTATCTCTGACTTGATTCTTCTTCTTCTTGTTTTTTTTCCCCTTCATTTTCTTTCGGGTAATCTGTTGTGAAGATTAACCAGAACCCATTGTTATTGGTTATTCTGAACCCGCCTGTGGCTGTCGGATCGGTCTAATCGAAATTAACCATGTTTCGCGATTTTGGCAGATGAGTTCGGGTGTACTTAGGCGATGAAATGTGGCGGCTTTATATTTGAAATTTGCCTTCTCTCCTAATTACTGTTAGGTTATTTTCCTTCTGAATTGTCAATGTGCTTTCTCTTACATTTCAAGTAGGATTTTGGACTTTGTTTTCTTTGCTTTTTGGAGTGTTATTTTCGTTGTTTTAGTTTCATTTCGTTCAGTTGTAAAGCTAGCTGGTAGAAGCTGAGAAGAAAACAGTAACTTGGTTCTTTAATGCCTCCCTTAATGATTATTAAGCATGATTATCTTGTGTGAAAGTATTAATTTTTTTAATTTTTCGTGACATGAAAATTGAAAGTACATACACAAATACAAAATGATTAGTAGGTATCTTTGTGTCATGCATTTTGTGTGTGTGTGTGTGATAAGTTCAATAGTTTGTGAAAGAATAATAACTGAAAGAAGTTTATGTTTGGTCTGGCTTGAAGGTGGTGAAAAACTGCACATCATGAATAAAGGAAAGACATGTCAGATAGGAAGGTAGTTCATGTGTGCTATCATATTCGGAACATGTACCCCAGCATTCGAAGATGATGAAATTTCTTCCATGAAAGTTATTATCTTATATAATGACGCAACTGTGGTGCCATTAGTTAGCAGTATTTTGTACATGGCGATGTATTTTTTTGGTGAAACTGATACTAGAACACAAAAATGGGGACTATGCTGATGCTACAGAGAAACCTGGACTAAATCAAAACCTGCAATGAAACATACAGAATAGATTAGGATTTTGGTTCTGCTGTTTTTTTGTTAACTCTTCTCATCCTAATTAGCTAGTTAGCATTGTTTGTTGAGTGTAATGCAAGATAATGCAAGCAAGCTGCCATATCTCTCCATAGACACATGCACACCCGCAAAAATGTAAGAAGATTTGAATAAATTAAAGAGCAAAAATTTCCACCAGCATCCCTCTTCAATATCAACAATCAAATTTTACCCTTATCAAAAATAATCACCTGTACAGCCATGTTAGGGATTATTGGCTTTCTATGATAAGGGATTAGATGGGCATGCATGCAGAATATAACCATCCCTAATTGATGCATGTTGCTGCCTCTTAAACTATAAAAGCATGGGTCTATTTATCATAAAATATTTTTCTTGATAGTGATTCAAATTGATCTTTATGTTATGATAATTTCCAAGGCTCTTAATGTTTTAAAATAATTTTCTTTCTAGCAAAATGAGCCAATTTTGCATGGGTTACAACTGAAGGCATGGTTGCACTGGATTGACCACAACAAACTATGGAAATTGATTTCATCTGTTTTCTCTAATCATTGGACCAGGGAGTCCAGTGACACGTTGGGCTTCAGTAGCTTTTGGTGCTGGAGTGGGAATTGGATCTGCATACACAGAGTGTTCTCGTCTATTTGATGGATCATCAACAACATCAGCATCACCTAAGATATCAGCGACTCCTACACAGGTAGGATTTTTCTGTTTTTTTGTAATTATCTGTTTCTGAGTGTGCTTTGGCGAACTTATTTAAAAATTCAGCAGCAGTGACCATTTTGACATTTTTTTGTAAAATTGTGGATTTGATGTTTCTTCTTATCTCCTGTCTTTTCCTTTTGTCAGTGCTAGTAATTGTACAATGTTGACTGTTTATTCAATGTTGCATCTTTGGAAGATATTCCTAAAAAATGTTATATGAGAAGCCTAATTCCAGCAGCTCACATAATTTTCAGATGTTTTTAGAAATTTGTAAGATTGCTTTAACTTCAAATTCTAGCATTTAGCATTGATGGCTGATAAAACTAGTAGTAGAGCTTTGTGGTGAAAGAAAGTTATGGGTAAATGATGTCCATGAAAATTCTTAGTTGGCATGTTGGAGGGTTTGTTAGCCAGAGGAAAGGGAAGGCAATAAAAAGGTTATTTAGAGATCAGAGAATGGATTGTTGGGGATTTTGATTATGTGAGAAAAAGTGCTTTAGAGATCAGAGAATGGATTGTTCTTCGGTAAAATCTGTAGGATTCTAGATTTAAGGGTTAGGAGCTTTTCAATGGTATTCTGGTTATTTGGGACATAATAGTGGTTACTAGGATAGATTCTCAATTTTAGTCTTGCATGTTATTAAGTGTATGAGTTTGAATATTTTATGAGGAAAAAATGCTTGACATTGTGGATAATTTTCCGATCAAATTTATTTGGGATTCTAGATTTAAGGATTTGGAGTGTTTTCCTTCCTAGTGGGGGCCTGATTCCATGATTCTATTCCTGGTATTCAATTTCAGTCTTGCTTGCTATCAAGGGTAAGGGCATTGTGTGATTTACATATTTTTATCAGCCAACTTGCGTTAAGACTGCGTTCTTTGCATAGCAAGGGGTTGAGATTTTTTATGGGTTATATGCTTGCTCCTTGATGTATGGAGGGAACTTTAATATGGTTGGGTTTCAAAATGAGAGACTAAGGGTTAGTTAAGTTCTGTAGAAACATGTTGGACAAGCACTGCCTCTATCTAAGCACATCACTCCCAGCTCTTGCCACTTGGACATTTGCGTCATAACCCAAGGAAATATTATGGAGGAAGGTTGTTAAAAGGGAGAAATTGCCTATGACACTACACCTTGTCAAAAGGAAGCATAATAATGCACAAAATGCCACATGAGAAGACACACCATGCCAGTAGCAGCTCCATCATTATCCACAATAACTGCTAAAGTTGCCAGAAATTATGAAATCATTATGGACAGAGGCCTTCCACCCAAAAAATAAAAATAAAAATTCAAGAGGTTGTAATTGATACAAGAAAGTGGTTATAGTGGATGTAGTTAGTTAATCAAGAAATAGAGCTGGTTTGATGAGATGAAGTTAGTGGAGAATAACTAATTGATCTAGTTTTTGATAGCCTATGTATGAAAATGTTGCAATAAGGATAGATTGATGAATTTGTGATAGCTTTTTACATTTCTTTGTATGTTTGGTATCACAGATGTTACAACAATAGCAACAACATGCTTTATCCCATTAGGCAGGACTGGCTATATAGATTACATGATATCATTGTGCTCTATTAACAATCAATCCTTTAGGTATATTGTTAACAAAAAAGTCTCATTTAACAACTCTCTTGAGTGTTCTCTTTGCTCTTCCTCTACCCTCTTTACAAGGATCAAGATTATTTATTCCACTTTTTTCACCGATGCCTCCCACGTCTTTCTTTGTAAATGTTGGAACCATCTCAAACAATTTTTTACTATTTTCTCCTCAATTTTGTATCTTATGTGTAGTATTCCCATCAATTTCACCATCAATTTGAATAATTGCTTCCAAACATCCAAATTTTTCCCAAATATCCCGAATATCATAGATGTTAGAATAGTATTATATTGTGATGATGAAAATGGAAAATGTAGTGAGTTCTGATTTACATGAGCTTCTCTTAATTATATTAATGGTTCATGGCAATGCTATTGTGAATAATAACTACCGAATAACTGCAGAATAATATCACTTAGCTATTACATAAAAATATAGCCTAATCTACTTAATACGGCAATCATATTTACTATCAATCACAATAATCAACATAACCAATCTTAGTCAACACTCCCCTTAAACTGGAAAATATATGTCATATGTGCCAAACTTCTTGTAAGTGTGGGAAATGTGGGGTGCTCTTAATACTTTTATGTTAGCATTATCTTTCTTATCCTTGGAGTTGATATGGCTTGTGATGATGGTTTCAGATAGGATGTTCGCTGTAATTATATTTAGAGGGTTTGGGAGGAAAAAGGAAGCTGGTGGTGATAGAGTTGAACCCTTGGTCCTCCATGGCATTTACTCACTATAGCAGCTCTTTCAACTCATTCTTCTATTTGGGATAGGTCAAAAAAAATATTCCATTAAATCTAAAATCCAGAGAAAATATTTTAAATGTTTAAGTTGAATTGATTATGAACATAAAAAATGTTCAGATCAGATTAAAATACAAGGGATTTTGTCATATAACAGATAAAAAAAGAAAATAGCAATTTATACACTGGCTCTTTATCTCCCATCGTTCCAAATGAAACCATTTGGAAATCAAAAGCTCCCTCTTAGATCAAGTCATTTATTTAGTCTGCAGGATTAATACCAATATATTTCAAAGTTTGCGGCCATAAAACGGCCTTTCTATCACATTTGCACCAGAAGTTTAAATAATTCAGAATCAGCTGTGCACCTTTTTATGCCGTCAAGCTTTTTTTTCCCTTTTTTATTTTTGTAGTGAAGCTTCTAGGGAAAGTGGATATATTCTTGTTCACTGATGCCTGTACTTCTGATAAGATTTAGAGGGCTTGCGAGGAAACAGGAGGCTTATGTCATGATGTTTTTGGCTGGAGCAGAATGATAGTATTATTCAAGGATTTTTTTTCTGTCTCCGGAGATGAAAGTCTTCATGGAACAAAGTATTTTTATTGATCGTATGCTTTGCATTGTATTGCATAGGAGAAGAATAAATAAACAACTGGAGCAAGAAGGGGAAACACTGGTCATTCTCCAAGAAAGGAAGGAAACACGACCAAATCAGTTAGTTTGGACAATAAATGTCCAACGACTAGAAAATAAAGAAAGGAAAATATGGAAAGAAAATTCTGGGGAGCTCTAGTATGCCTTTGCTATAAATCTGGGAACCTTGCAGGAACAACAGAACCCGTTCCTGGAAATCAGGGATTATAGAGGAAAGTAATTGCTCTCCTTGATCTAGTTCACCCTCATAAATTCTTATTAATGACACTATCAGCGTCCAAAACCCTTGCTATCAACGCATATTAATGACGACTTCCGGATCTGGAAATGTTCCGCATCTGGATGTCCTCATTTTTCTCCCAAGAAAATTCCGTTTACTTACAAAGAGATATGTGAAAGAATAGTGTTCTTGTCTTGAATGTACAGTTCTGCTTAAGTTTTATTCAAAAGGATTGCTATCTTGCTTTTTCAACAAGATTGACCGCTATACTTCATTTTTACGTGATTAATTTCTTGTATATGAAGCCTTATCTTTTTCGAGTCTGCTTCTGGATCGTGTCATATTCTTGTCTTTTGTGTTTCTTTTTTTAACTTTATGAAAATTTCTTCCTTTATCAGAAAGTGAAAAAGTTTGGGTGCAGTAGGAAGGTTCATGGTGAAAGTGATTGGCTCTGTTTTGTCATCTTAAATATTAGAGATAGAATAATACCCTGTGGGCTTTTGCTTAATTTTAACTCTTTCGGAAAGAAGTTTTTTTGGGTAAAATAATTTAGCAGTTTGTGCCTGGTTTAATTATTCCATTTGTGCTTCTCTCAATATTATTGTTTTTGGCAATTATTTTTAAAAATTTATTTTCTTTGTCAAATTACTAAAAGAATACAAATAGATAGAGTATTAATTAAAGATAATTTTTTTATCAAATTTTTAAATTATAATATAATAAAAACGTCAGAGTCAACTTTTAAAAGAATTTTAATCCAAATAAACATATTATATACAATGGCTTCTCTGTTTTGTTTGATAGAGCTAGGTTACATAAATAAGATACTCCAAAGCTTTATTCTACCTCTAGGAGTCGGCAAAAAACTAGGGTAAATCTTTTTCATAATTCTAGATCTTATCTAAAACAGAAGCACTTACCAAATAAATATTACTTTTATTCTCAGTAATTTTGTCCTCTTTTCTATGACATCCTCTAGTCTCCACTTTGAAACTTCTTAGCTATTGTTTGCTGATAACTGGGGATGTGTCACGAGTAATTTTGTAGTAATTGTTCCTTTTTCTTCCCCTTCGGGTTCATTAAACGTGCGAAAAGGTATTTGCCCATGCCTTGAAGTGGAAGACCGCTAGTTCATTATGGTCGTCCTAAGTGTATTTGCGGTACACTTCAAAGCTGAAGGTTCAATTTGGAATACTAGGAACAAAACAACGAAATTCTTCTGGATCTAGTGATTTATGTTCTTATTTAAGGTTGATCAAGTTGGTGTATCCATTGCCTTGTCGTGACATAAATTTGTAAAGTTATGTTTATTGTCAATGTTTTAGGTATTTCAATTGTGCTTGTGCATGCTTTTCCTCCTCGCAAGTTATTTTGTTTATTGCTTCTATGTTCTCAACCGTACAAGATGTGGTTGTTTTTGCTATATTAGAGTGAAATAGAGCAGCCAATGAGCTTATAGTCTAGTGGCATCTAAGCTGCCACCTGGGTTCAATCCTACCTGCAACTTTAGGCCGTTAATGCCTACCCATTAGTTCAAAAGAGAGAGTGAGATAGAGCAAGAATTTTTGTTAACATTTAATAAAAGGCTAGATTTCATTTCATTTTTTTAAATCAGGCTAGGGACTTGGATTCAGTGACTGGCATAAGTCCACTCACTTAATGAGTGTCTTAATTATAATTATTAAATTTTATTAATACTTGAAAATTATGAAGATATATTTTCCTTCAAAAATTCAAAACAATTCTCACTCCTCATCCCCTCTAAAAATTTGACATTTGGTATCTTTTGAATATTATATCAATTTTTGATTGTCGTTTAATCAAATCAAATGGTTATTATCATATTATATGAGACAATCATTGAGTGAGCAGGCTTAAACTACTCACTGGATTTTCTTATTGTTTAGCTTGGTTGTTTATCTTGCAGCAAACATTTATTGATGAATAGGTTCAGGAATTTATTTTGTTTTTTGTTTCTAGGATGTGCAGGACTCTTGAATAATTGCTTTGATGTTGGATCCTCGTTTCCTAGCTGTTGAAACAGAATTTTCTGGAGATTGATGGTGGTGGGTTTACCCCAATTTGTAATATGTAGTTCTTTCATGATTTCATAAATGAAAACCTGACGTCATACTCACAAGCATACGTGAAAGGGGATGTAAACATTGTCATTCACAAACCTTGATTTTTTTTTTTCCCAAATTTTTGGTGCTCTGCTTTATTGAACGTGTCCGTTTCTCAAGATATTTATTAATAATGTTGAAAAAAAAAGATATTTCTTAAAAATTTTAGTTCTGCTGCAAAATTAATTTATCGGCCAGCAACTTCATTCTTTTTTTCCCCCAGTATCTTTTTATCAAAATAATGAAATAAAGTCCTAGTATATTATGCCAGCAAAAGTGATGGTGAACTTTCCCGTGGTGGGGATGAAATTTCATTCAAATTCTGTGTGTTTTTTGAAGACTAGCATTTGACCCCATACAAGATGGTATATGAAGAAGTATTACTCCGTCTGTTTCTTTTTACAGAGTGACATTTAGAAGGTGTTGGCGTTTTTATTTACTTGCCAATTTGCAGAATCTATGGAGTATTTACTATTTTTATTTGAAAGATGGGTCCTGAAAATAGTGCATGAAAAGAGTAAAGAATAAGGGCTAATTTTGGGTTAAAATTTAAATGGCAAAATTATTTAAGAATTTTTTCATCATATTTAGTATTTTTAAGTCAATAAAGATGCATGAGTTTCTATTAACTCTTTTCAATGAGCATCTTTCTTTGAGTCATTAAGATAGCTTAATGCTCCTTTACGTGGATTCAAGATGTTGGGTTATACAGCAAAAATACTTAAAAATTTTTTCTCTAGAAGCAAAATTATCTAGATTCAAAGATATTAGAAATTAACGGGGAAAAAAATTTGAGTATATTTGCATCTTATGTTTACTTTGCTTTGCCTTTTTTTTTTTTTTTAAGTAATGTTAATGGGTGCCAGGCAAATTTAATTGGATGTGAAAGGATGCTTTCACTAAAAGATGTTCATGAATATTTATATATTATTGTTGATTTAAGGATATTGGAGACTACCGGCAAAAAATATTTTATGATGGAAAGGTAATTAGAAGTCTTAACTTGACCTAATTTATTTAATAAATATGTTAAATTAGGTTTGAAATAAGTCAAGTTGTAGGCTCTTAATAAAAACTTGATCTACTTTCACTCTTAGTTTTAGTAAGATAATTAAAAATGTCTTATAATAAAAATTAAGCAATTGGGGCTTTACCTACTTCAATCTTGCCCCTACTTTCTGATGTGGGGTTTCTCCTTTTTCCTCCTCTCCTTTTTGCCCTCCATTTTCTCATGCTCACAATTGAATCATTGTCACTTCAGTCTACTTGTACAATTGGAGTAACTATTTTGTTTGATTGAAAATGTGATTTATATATAACAAAAGATTACAGACTCAAAATACATTCAATAGATCACTTCTCTCCCTCTCCCTGGTTAAATGAAAGAGGATGATTAAAGAAATGATCCTTTGAGATTAAAGTCTGAGCAAACTTAGCAAGAGTATCAACATGTTTAACAAAATCTCTTGGCAAACAGTTAATGCTGACAAGCCAATCTCTACCTAAAAATTAAAGTGACTTCCAAAAACTGTTTTCATCAAGGAGAATTTTTACGCTTATCAAAATTTTAAATCAGTTGTGGTTCCTCTTGGAGTAAAATCAGTTTGGATAAAAGTTATTAAAATAATACACATACACATTTTGATAGAAAGCAATATGTAAATATTTTATAAGCAAATATTTATACACACACTTATTTTAATATTTTTATTCATAAATAATTAATAATTTTAATTTAAATAGTTTGGAAAAATATAATAACATTTATTTTTACACATAATGCCATGTTTATTTAAATAAAAAAAATTCAAATGGTCATTTGCTGTAATTTTTAGGTTCCTTTTGGTAATTTTAAAGGACTTTTTGTTAAGTAATAGTTAAAATTAACTTTTATTAAGACAAGGATCATATTATTACATTTTCAAAAGTTAAAAACAAATATTACACAAAAATGAGTTTAAAATCTAAATAATTTTGGACCGATAGTTTAGGAATCAATTAGCTCATTGACCTAAGTTCAAAAGCCATTTGAGAGTAAATTGTCCAGGCAATAGAATAGACACATTGGATGGGAATTGGTGCTATGGAGAGTCAGATAAAAATGACACTACAAAATATATGTCATTACATTTTTTCAAACTATTTAAACTAAAATTTTATTACAGTGTTTTAAACTAAAAATACTACATATGTATGTATATGTGTGTGTATATATACTCTCTCTGATATTATTTACAAGTTATTTTTAAAATTTTTCATCAGAATAAAAAAAAAAGCCTTAAACCTCCTTGTCTTAAAATTTAATAAATTTTTACCTTTACCCTCTAATAAGGACAAAAAAAACTATTTTAGTAATTTTTTTCTAGCAATTAATAAGGGCAGCGAGCTAAAGTTGAACATAAAAAGTAATAAAGCACCTTGTAAATAAAATCAAAATTAATCTCGTCTCCATTTCCTGTAAACGTAAATAGAACCAGTGAGGAGTATATATTTGTTTATAAAGTATTTAAATATTTGTTTATATCAAAATATGTGCGTGCATGTGTGTGTGTGTATTATTTTAATAATTTTTACCCAATTTTTGTTTACTCAAACAGTGATGTCAACTTATTTAAAATTTTTAAAAGCCTAAAAATTGTCTCTTCATAAAACCATGTTTTTCAAAGTCACACTCTGATCATACGATCAGCTTAGAGTGACAATGGTTCAACGGTGATGATAAGGAAATGAAGGATAAAAGGAGAGGAGAAAAATGAAGAGAGCCACACCACCTTCTTCCAGACCAGCCTTCACGGGCACGTGCGTTTCTTCCTAAATCTATCCTTGGAAGGTAAGGGGCTTTAGTTTTTAAAGCATTTAGGTATAAATTAAATGGTTGTATTTTTGAAAAATTGTCATTAATGTTAGATATATAAGAAAATTTAGAGAGCCTTCTCTTGGTCCTAACTATGACAAACCAACTATCTATCCATGTCAACCTCATTAAAAGGTTTGCTTCATGCCCTTCATTAAATGTTAATTGACTTTATAAGTGCCATTAAATATTTGGTAAATGTTCAAAATTAATTTCAGCATTTTTGAAAAAAGAAAACATTTTCACGTACTTGTGAAGGGTAATTGATTTCAACTAATTTTTTTCAATGGATAATGAAATATCCTAAAAGATTTAATAAATAACAGTTAAGTTTCTACAATGTTTTTTTTTTGGAAAAATAAGTTACAGATATTAATTTATACAATTGCAAACATGAATTCAAATTACAATATGAGAATTACATATAAAATTTGAATGTCTTGTATACAATTGTGTAAATCAATTTTATCAACTTATTTTATAAAAAAGTTTATCCAATACTTTACTATCATTAAGTCAATCTTTTAATGTCCTAATCTAAAATGGGTACTATATTTAGGATTATTTAAAATGGTCATATATTAAATTGGACGGAGTAATAAATATATACCATAGTTGAAGTTGAGTGATGACATCTAAGTTGAATAATACAGGACGGCTAACAATCCCAAACGTGAGAAGCATAGCTTGAATTGAAATATAAAACATAACCCACGATAAAAGAAGGAAAAATAATAATAAAATTCTTTTAAATTATATAAATAATAATATAATCCTTTAAAATTTTATAATTTCACTAAAGTTTTTAAAAATTTCTGTGTTAATAAATTTTAAACTGAAAAAATTATTTTACCATTATTCAAATAATAAGCCTTAATCACAACTTTTGTTTGAAGAATAACAACTTTTGTTGTTGAAAACAAAAGTTTTCAAAATAACAAACCTCATGCACAGTTTTTGTTTAAGGAGTAACAACTTTCATTCAAATAATCATAATAATTAAACAAGAAATTATAATTTATTAATAAGAGTGAAATAATTTTTTCAATTTAAAATTTATTGACACAGAGATTTTTAAGAATTTCAGTAAAATTATAATATTTTGATGGATTATATTATCATTTATATAATTTTAAAAAATTTATTATCATTTTTTCATAAGAAAATATTTATTCAACGTATGGTAAAAGCCATTATAAATGAGTGTGGTGTTTAAGGGACATGAGTCAAACTTGGTGGGATCAATGGTTGAAACTTTCATTATGATATATAACAGGAAAATAATTGTACTGTACATAGATTATTGTGTTAAAACCTATTTGCTCCTAAACTATAACCGCAGGACACCCGATGTTGTAAACTAAACTTTGATACTATCTTTTCCTTAAACATTTAAAATAGTCCAATTTAACTCTCTCAACTAAATTGAGTAGACGTAATCATTGAGTAGTACCCCTCCTGCCCTTTTTATATAAATTATTTCTATCAATTTCATTAATAGTAATACAAAAAATATATAAGGAATAAAAATACATAAAATTTTAAATATATCCTTATACCATAAATTTTTTAAAAAATAATGATATGTTAATTTTTTTTATTAAAAGTAATTTTAAAAATATTTTTTAAATATTATTTATAAAATTGTACCGTAACTTATAAATGAGATCAAATAAACTTTTTAAAATATGATTTATAAATACAACTGAATGGAGTGTATTAGAAAGGGTTGTTGACATTTCTTTTCCTACGTGTAATGCCATGTAAATGTTTGAAACAACACCACCGCAGAGAATGAAAGGTGGGAAATCTCGTTGAAACCCTAATTACATCCAAGCCCTCGTTACTCGACTTGTCATAAGAGAACGAAGAAAGAAGAGAAAATTGTCAAAATGAGAACAAGGGACGCATTCAAGGTTGAAGGACGCACAATGGGGTGCATGTGATTTCTAAACTTGTCGTAGATAAAGCCTGGAGTTTCCATGGAAGTCGAGGTGAGGAATCTCGTATCCCCACAATTCTTCCACAGTGAAGTCACACAAAAGTCCTTGATTCCGTCACGTTGTGTTTTTCTTCGTATGTGTAGATGTACGATAGTGGATCTAGCTGTGGCACCATGTTAATAGTGGTGGACGCAGCACTCGAGGCTGTTGGGGGCAAAATTATTGTTGATAAGACACGATGTATATTTTACCGATAATAAAATTTAAGATAAAAAAATAAAA